TTTGTGTTCCGAAGATGAACGAAGGTCTTACGGGTTTGAAACGACATGAGGGTGAGTAATTAATGACAGAATTTGAATTTTTGGGTGAACTATCCCTTTAACCTTCAGCCACAGCTTACAGTATTTCAGCGGCCGTCTGTCAAATCATTCACAAGATCAAACGACACTCACAGCTGTCCACTTTAACGGTGAACGATCCTCCTGCAGACGACTCCCAGATGTACTGCTCATCATCGTTGTGTTTGGTGATCACCGTGACTTTCTCGGCCACTAGGTAGGCGGAATAGAAACCCACTCCAAACTGGCCGATCATAGAAATGTCCGCTCCGGCCTGCAGGGCCTCCATGAAGGCCTTGGTGCCGGATTTGGCGATGGTGTCCAGGTTGTTGATGAGGTCTGCTTTGGTCATGCCGATGCCGGTGTCGATGATTGTGAGCGTGCGCTCTTTCTGATCGGGGATGAGTTCAATCTTCAGGTCCTTGCATGAGTCGAGTTTGCTTGGGTCTGTCAAGCTCTCATATCTGATCTTGTCCAATGCCTGTTTTGAAGATATGCATTGTGTTATTGTGAATTTTTGGAACAAATGCTGGAACATAAATGGAGAATGCACTGATTGACTTACATCTGAAGAGTTGGAGATGAGCTCCCTGAGGAAGATCTCTTTGTTGGAATAAAAGGTGTTGATGATCAGAGACATCAGCTGAGCGATCTCAGCCTGAAAGGCAAAGGTCTCTGCTTCCTCTTCCATCATGGGCTGTGTGGCGTTCTCGGGCATCTGCATAAAAGATTAATAATAAGGATTATAAATAAGGATTCTGGAATATAAAGCATATATATATATATGTGTGACCCTGCAGCACAAAAGCAGTGTTAAGTCGCTGGGGTATATTTGTAGCAATAGCCAACAATACATTGTATGGGTCAAAATTATAAATGGCTTGGTGCCGGATTTGGCGATTGTGCCCAGGTTGTTGATGAGGTCTGCTTTGGTCATGCCGATGCCGGTGTCGATGATTGTGAGCGTGCGCTCTTGTTTGTTGGGAATGATTTCGATTTTGAGGTCTTTTCCTGAGTCCAGCTTGCTCGGGTCTGTGAGGCTCTCATAGCGGATTTGATCCAAAGCCTGATGGGAAGTAAGAGCATTTTATTTAGTTTTACAGCTCCATTTGATCATTTAAGCAGCTTTAATAAGACAATGAAATAGTGCTGGGCGGTATACCGGTTCATACCGAATACCGATGTTTATTTTTGCTATGATATGAATTTTTAAAATAACGCTATAAAAAAGTGTGATATGTCGCTTAAACAAGGTTCGGAACGCGACACTGTTTGAAAGGGGTCCCTTTTCACTGTTGCACTGTGGTGAGGGAACAGCTGTATGTGTTACTAAGCGTGAAAGCTCCGAAACTGAATCTGTAGGACTAATAGAACGTGATGACACAGAAGAACTCATCCACAATATCCACATTGACCGCCACAAATATCCACCGCCCCCTGCCATCAGCTCCCACACACACGAGCACGACTTTAGCACTAGATTTAGCAACTTTCAGATCCTTTTAGTGGCTTTTTTCCATAGAATATTCATACTGACAAACCTAGTGACTTTTTTGGATAAACCTTAGCTATGGTTCAGTTGGAAGATTTCGCCAGTGCTGTCCCGCGAACGCGAGGTCTGACTTTCCCGAAGTGTCGCCTCTCTCGGCGTCTCTATCAGACGATGTCGCGATTATAAATGAGAGTGACTCCTGGTTAACATGTATTAAAAGGGGTCGTGTTTAGTCACTATTTAGTGTGGTATTTTTTGACAATATTCACTCATCATGACAGTAAAATAGGGCATTCTAAGTCAATATACTGCAGTATTTCCTCTCAATCAGTAGAAAATATGGTTAACACCTGGTCATGCATGAAAAAAAAAAATACCGTCATGTACCGTGAAACCGGTATAATTTTGAAAAATACCGTGATATAAATTTTTGGTCATACCACCCAGCACTACAATGAAAATGTAATGTGCATCTTTGTATTTTTTAATTCTATTACTAACTGTTTATGTGAAAAAGTTGAAGGCTGCATGCTATTTTTTTTTATATATGATTTAATTATCATTATTTTTTGCATTAAAATTTTATAAAGCACTGTTATATTTCTTGTAATGTGCATCTTTGTTTTTATTTTATTACTGATTAATCAGTCAGTAATAAAATTAACAATAATCAATTTTAAAAAAATTATTAAATAAATGTTCTATATTTTAGTTCAATAATATGTATTTACTATTTTTAGGAGATCGTTCGGTCCTAAATACTATTTTGCAATAATTATGGTCCATTAATGGACACTTAAAATATTTTTTTCTAATATTTCTATTAGCCTACTTATATTACAATTAGTGTAGTAGGCCTATGTAAGATTAAAATAGAGAAAATGGTTTTAAATTCCAAAGCAAAGAAGCAAATTGGATGCTCGGAAAAAAAAAAGTTTTATTTGTAATGACATGGTTTGCTCTTTAATAAATATGCATGTATCTACTAGTCTGGTTTCTCAAAAGAGTATTGCAGCTCATACCTGCTTACTTATTTTTAAGTTTTGCATTTGAATAAATATTTAGACACTAGGTTTTTTTTTTAAATGTGAAATTAAAAAAGTTAATAAACTACATTCCTTTTTAATTTTCAATGATACTCGTATAAGTACACACAAGTGAATATTAATGAAAACAAGCAAATACTGAATTTAATTTGACTTGAAAGTTTAAAACGGTACCAAAAAACTGCATTCAACAGAAGATTTGTATCCCCTAATACAGTATATACATGTGTATTGACACTGAATCGAGATCAAAATCCTATACTATACTGTATAACCTTCCTAAGCCATTTAAGGAATCATAACATGGTTTAATTCAAATGCAAAAGGGTATTGCATTAATTCTATTAATATAACTTATTTGACTCCCACGCAATGCACCAGTGCATTCTGTTACACCTTAAGCTTTAATAATAGCAACAACATCTATAAAATCACATATTTATAATGCACTCCGTGCATGTGTAATAATTCCTCGCATGTGTTCATAAGCACATTTATCTTAAAGGTACAGGAGCCTCGTTTAATCTGATGGAAATCCTCTGAGGTAACAACTCCAAATGGTCTGATGACTGCAATCTGCCGATTTAAACATGCTGACTGATGTTAAAACTCATTTGAAATTGAGATAGGAAATTAAAAGTAGCGCAGCAGCATCGCAACTGTTAAAAGAGTGTTGACGAATGAATGAAGCGCGAATAAACGTCGCATATGCAGGCGAAAAGAGTCAAATGATGGCGAATTGGGATGTTATTCAGATTCTGTATTCTTACATTGAATGGTTTGTTAGAGTGAGTTAGATTAAGCGGTTCTCCGTAAGGCTTGTAGAGTTTTCTCCTCAGCTGTCACTGAGCTCTGGGAGATCCGTAACGTACGTCAGCGGCGCTTATTTACGAGTGCGGACGCTCCAGAAAGATCTTCTCAACGCTTTCCAACGGACGCAGGGGGAGGGGCTTGACTGTCAATCATCCCCGCCCGCCTCCGTTTACAACTGTTAAAGGGGCGGGGCCAAGAATGAGATTAAAGGGGTCATATGATGCGATTTCAATTTTTCCTTTCTCTTTGGAGTGTTACAAGCTCTTGGTGCATAAAGAAGATCTGTAAAGTTGCAAAGACTAAAGTCTCAAATCCAAAGAGATATTCTTTATAAAAGTTAAGAGTCAGCCACACCTACCTAAAACGGCTCGTTCTAACACGCCCCCACATGTCTACGTCACGATGTGGGAAGATTTGCATAACGCCGCCCAAATGTTCACGCAAAGAAAGAAGGCGTAACTTTTATTCTCACTGTAGTATTGTTGTTGCCGTTGCCGCCATGTCGTGAAGAGCTGTGTGTTTAGTTGTGAAAGTGAAACTACTTTGTTTGTTCTTCCAAAAGTGGACACGACTAGAAATCAGTGGTTAAGTTGTATTTACAACACTGTTCCAGAACAGTTTAACCCAAATATTCAGATGTGTGCAGCGCATTTTATGGAGGACTGTTTCCTGATCCTGGTAGAGTAGACTACGGCTGTTCTGACTCGCAGAATGTAAGTAAGTCTTTTATA